ACGAAGAAGGAAGGGAAAAGGGGGTCGCCCTGTCTAAGGCCTCTAGAGGAGGGAAAGAAATCGGTGGGGCTGCCATTAACCAGGACCAAGAACGTGCAATGCTCCACACATGCCTCCACAAAGCTGATCCAATGCTCAGGGAATCCCATCCTAGCCAACGCCTCCCTAAGAAACGGCCACTCAACCCTATCATACGCCTTAGCCATGTCTAGCTTCAGCGCGATATTCGGAGCCCGCTTCCAGTCCGCTCGGGAGATGTCGTGAATCATCTCCTGGGCCAGAAGGATGTTATCACTAATGACCCGATCCTTGACGAATCCACTCTGGTTTGGAGAGATGAGGGAGGGTAGAAGAGGGGAAAGACGGCCGTTAAGAATCTTCGAAATGAGCTTGTTGGTCACGTTACACAGGCTGATGGGCCTGTAATCGGACCAAGAGCTCGGGTTGGGTCTTTTGGGGATCAAGATGACAGAGGTAGACGTGAAGGAATCCGGCATCCGGTGGCCGGAGAAAAAATCCAACATCACCTCCTTGACGTCAGTCTCGACAAGATCCCAGCAGAACTGATAGAAGAGGGAGGAGAAACCATCCGGGCCAGAAATGTTGTTGGGGTCAATCCCGAATACAGCATCCCTAACCTCCTCCCTACTCGGGAGCTCACAGAGGCCAATGAGATCGACGAAGGAGGGATGGTGGGAAAAATGAAGCGGTCGGGGCCACGAGGGACCCTCTGTCAGAGGTGAAGAGAGTCTGGAAGTGAGCAATAGCCGACTCCCAAATCTGGGCCTCCTGGGTCAAGGATGACCCATCAGCCTCGATACTATGGATGTACGACTTAGCACGCTTCTGCCTAACGTAGCCCTGGAAGAACCTAGTGTTCCGCTCACCCTCGGCCACCCTGCGAACGGCTACCTTCTGATTCCAGAAGTCCTCCACCATAAGGAGTCGGAGCTGGTACTCGGCGTGGCAGCGGTGCATGGCAGTCCTATTCTCCGGAGTGGGATCCAGGTCATAGGCCCGCTCAGCCGTCGCATGCGCACTCTGAGCCGCAGCAAGGCGCTGATGAAGGTTTCCAAAAACATCCCAGTTCCACTGTCTCAACCGACGCCGCAGTCTGCCGAGCTTCGCCTCGAGATTGCGCATCCCGAAGAGCCCAGTCGGCTGAAGCCAGGAATCCCTGACAGTGTCGTGGAAGGAGTGGTGGCGGACCCACATGTTTTGGAACCTAAACGAAGAGCGGCGGCGGCACTGGATGAGATGGGGTGAATGGTCGGACCCGAATCGAGTAAGGTGTGTGACGGTTGTAACCGCGAACACCTTCGACCACGCCTCAGAAACTAAGACACGGTCTAACCTCTCTTTGAGCCTGTCCCTCACCCACGTGAAGGGCTCACCATCACATCCAGCGTCAATTAACTCGCAGTCTGCCACTGCCTGAGCAAAATCCCACATCTCCCGTGACCGGTCCGTGCGGCCACCCACACGCTCATCGGGATGTAGAAAGATATTGAAATCGTCACTAACCATCTATGGCAATCCCTCCATACTCTCGGCAATCTCACGCAGGGTGTCCCAAAGGTCATATCGCCCGACCCTAGTACACTTGGCATAAACCAAGGTGTGGAAGATGGGCTCCGGAAGGTGGCCAGAGGAAATCTCTACGTGAAGCACCTGATCGGTGTCGCGGAGGACCCGACAAGTGTAGTCACGCGAGTGGAAAAACCAGATCTTGTGCGAAATATTACCCACGCCCGAATCATCGGCTCAATAAAGCCAACAAAATCGACTCTGTGGTCACGAATGAGAGAATGAAGGTGAGAGAGAGTAGCCCTGTTCGCCAGGCCACGACCATTCCAAGTAATGGATGTGATGGACATATCAACGGTCGCAAGAGCCACCGGACGTAGTCCGCCAATGGCGAGGCTGATTCGGGCCACCTAAAGAAGGGGAGATCGTCCGTCGTGTCGTGCGGCAGAAGGGTCCAATAGCAGGGGAGATCATCCGCCGTCTCGTGTGCTGCGTGGCTCTGGTCCTCGAGGTCTGTCTGCCTCGGTATGTACTCGTAGCCTGTGAGTCGTCTGGCTGGACAGACTGACCTATAGCAGCACTAGCGGGTGGCCCCATCTCCGGGGCTGCCTCATGTCTGTCAAGGTGAAGAAATGCACTAGAGGCGAAGCTCTCGCACGAGACGTCATGTTGCGCGCGGTTAAGCCCGCATATCTGCTCGGGGATGGGTGAAAGAGGGGGTCCAACAGGCAGAGCACTCGGGTGCTCGCCGGTAGGAGGAGGCTGGGAGATGGCTATAGGATCGACCGAGCTCCCAATCCCAGCAGGGGGGGGATGGGCCGACTCATCCCCTTTCGGGGGAGCGGTGGCGGCAGTAGCCCTCAAATCCGAAGATCGGACCGGGCTAGAGGCGCGCACGGTCAAAGGACCGGCATCGCGCACACTATCATCGGATAGGTGGATGGACTCTCCCCTGGGTGTGGCGTCCGGTTGGTCCATGTCGTCTCCAAAGAGGTCATCGTCATCCAGAAGCGTAAGATCGGTAATTTTAGGTGGCCTGCTGGAGGAAGGAACAACATCCTTCTCTGCCTCAGGGGAGAGAATAGCAAAATAGGAGTGGTTGGCCTTGAAGGCCGTCTGTAAGGTCTGTCTAGGGAGAAAGCCTGTGGACTTGGGCTTGGGACCCACTAAGGCCAACTGCTTAGGCTGGTTAGGATGAGCATCCTTCCCAGTTTGGGCAGTATCGACAATCACAGCCTTGCCCTTATCCTTAGACCCCTTCGGGGTCTCGGGCGCGCGGAGAGGGCTTTTGCCCTTTCCCTTCGGGTCCCTCCGGCTGGTGGAGGTTCCCTGCTGGGTCGCACGATGGCGCTGCGGGAGAGCGGGTCGTGGCTTATTGCCACTGATGTAACAATCGGCCGCAACATGACCCACGTGGTTGCACGAGGTGCAGAACGCGGGGATCTTCTCATAGATCACCCGCTGAACAAGAGACTCCGAGCTCTGTTCAATCTCAATCTCATGAACGAGCTCAGCTCTCAAATCTATCTCGACGCAGAATCGCGCCACGTTAGCCCTCGTCTGAAGGGCCGTCGGGGCGTCGATATGAATCGGCTGCCCAATACACTTTAGCTAGTGTAGTGATGGCAGCACGGTCGTAAAGATGGGGTGGGAGGCCAGGAAGGTGGCACCACACAGGGACGACCGGTGCCTCCGTATTCGGGTTAAACCCGGCATAATATTTGAACACCCTATCTGGGCATCTACACAAATGAATGGAGGTCTTAAGCCAGACCTCGTTATAGTCCTCGGGAAGGTGAAAAGACACTAGGAGGTGGTTGAAATTATACCACTTCGACGACACCCTACCCTTAAAACCCAGCTTTCCTAAACCAGCAGATATCTCTCGGGGGGCACGGATAGCATATGAAAACTGAAGACCAGGGTGTTAGCCAGCTTACCTGCAAGAGCGACAGATTCGGCTTCAGTGTATCGGGCCTTCACTTTGTTCCCTCCGAGCGGATAATGGTCCCGCAAGCATGTTCATATCCTCCGTCAAAGATAGTGTCTTTGGGTGTCGGCCGCGGGGCGCCTGTGCCGCCATCTCTCCTCCCCGTAATGCCTCTCGGAATGATAGCGGCCCATTGGATGTGACCGGAGTTGGTCCATCTGCATTGGGGTTGGACCCGGTAAGGTGGGTCAAACCCGTCATGTTTGGTCCCTCCACAACCACTCCATCTTCACGAACGAACATGACGGCCTTGTCGGCGTTCAGGCCCGTCGGTGGGTTGACTTCCTGGGGCGACACTGATGTTGTACGGAGAGGGCCCGTCGAAGGCTGTGTAGGTACTCCGGCGGGGGGGGCTGAGGTGCCGGGAATCGAGGATTTGGCGATATGATCGGTCGGAGACGAGGAGTTTGGCCAGGGCCCGAGGATTCCAGCCGAAAGACTCAATTCCGGGGGACCATCGGTTGGAATGCCGGCCGGCTGAGGTTTTCTGGTGGCCGTGATGTCGCCGGCGCCGGCGTGGGCCAGGTTGACGGCAACTGCCCGGTGGCTGGAGGCGGCAGCTTGCTGGTTGAAGAGGACGGGTTGCGAGGTGGGTTGAATGCTGTCGGGTTTAGCGGGCGTGGTCTGAAGGGGCAAATGGGTTGAGGGCTGAGTGGATTGGGCTATGGGTTGAGAGGGAGATCCATAATATGGTAGGCCCAAGAAGGGGGTGAATTGGGCGGATTGTGGGATAATAGGCGGGCCAGCTTGATTGAGAGTGGAACTGAGTCCAGAGAGGTGAGGCTGAGATAGATTTATGGTGGCCAGTGTGGTGACGAGCTAGGTTATGGAGGAATCGGGCTCGGTGTTGGGCTGCGGATTGAAAGAGGTGGTGTGGTCCTGAATATGAATGGTGGTGGGCTGAGATGTGGATGAATTTGTTTGGGCCTGAGGATTAGAGGGGTTATCGGGTGGTTTAAATGGGTGAGAAAGGGCTGAGATGGTATTGGGCCCAAACAAATTTTGGCCCAAAGTCTTATGGCCTGAACCCACTTGAGGTTGGAGCTGAGGGTTCCGATAGACTGAAGGGCCGCTATTCAAGCATACCTGCTCAGGATAGACTGAAGCGGAGGTTGTCTTCTCCGCCGGGACAAGGTTCATCACCGGTGCATACGACCCAAAAGTTAGAGGCGGTTCAGTGAATCCAAACTTTGGGTCTCAGTTATCTGATTGTGGGCCAAAGGAGGCTTGAGACCGGCCCGAACCAAAACCATTTTTGGAAGATGATGGCCCCTGTGAGTTGCCAACCGGTGGATAATCTTTTTGTTCTCTGTTTGACTGTTGACCGACCGGAGAGAGGATGGTGGAAGGCCCGTCGGAAGGAAGAAGGTATTCCAGCTTTGGGGAAGTATGTCCCGCCAACACTGAAGATCCACCGAGCTCTGGGAAGAGATATATGAGCTCGTAGCTGATGGACGAGGGTGAAGGCGCAAAAACCTAGTTGATGTGTAGCTCCGGCGAGGTGGTCTGCGACGGAGGTGCGTGGATAGGCACTGGAGAAGACGAAGGAGCCATGGTTATCGGAGACAAGGCCTGCCGGCCGGCCGTGAGGGCCGCCGGCAGCGACGGCGGTGACGAGGGTGGCTAGTCGGAAAAGATGGAGTTGGTCAGAAAAAGAAAAGTCAAACAAAGGAAAAAAGGTTGTAGAGAGAGAAAGTAAGAGAGAAGGGAGAGCATTTGCCAAATTGCTCTGTAGTTGCTAGGTTAGTTCTATGTAGTTGCTAGGTTAATTTTTTTTTAAACAAATAACGCCCCGGAAGGACGGGGGTTTGGGCAGGATCCCCAACCTGTGCATAGATCAAGACCCCAAAACGGGGCCCAACAAATCAACAGTCTACGGTCTACAGAGTCTCAAAAGTAAAACAACAAAGGAAATAACAATACAAAGTCTGTCTTCGGGCTAACAGGTGCCCGACAATAAAAGTCTAATATACTGAAAGCAATGAACTTAATCTACTGAAAGCGGAATGATGGATATCCAAGCTGGTCCATTCGTACGAGCGTGCGAAGGCGGAATGGAGCAGTGTCGGTCTGAAACGTATGTGGGTCTGGTATGGTGGCGCTAAGGCTGGCAAGGTAGTCCTCAGGTCTGTTCCCCTCATGGAAAATGTGCGTGATCCTGTGCTGGACAGGCCGGAGTAGAGCTCTAATACGCATAAACGGGTGCTGAATCTACCACGAGCCACGTTGGCCCGAAGTCAGGAGGGTGGCGACAGCCGCAGCATCTAGCTCGATCCAGATATGGCTAGAGAGGTGGACAACAATCTGAAGGCTGATCTGTAATGCCTGAATCTCAGCATCGTAGCTCGAAGAGGCCTAAAGGGATGCGTGGAAGGCGGTGATGAGGGTGCCGCTGTGGTCCTGGATCAAGCCTCCTTCTCCGGCAACTTCGGTATGACGATCAAAAGAGCCATCTATGTTCAGCTTGACCCACGGAGAGTCGGGTCGAAGCCAAACAACAACTCTGGCCCGAGGAGGCCGAACAGGCGGAGGGGGGGCCACCATGTAACGGTGTGGCAGCCTGCAATCTGTCCAGTCTCGGGCCGTGAGTCTGTCCAATGCTATGAGGAGTGAAATGTGTCTCTCTACCTGCAAAACAATGCGAGAAAGCAAAAAAGTAATATCCCTATGCTTCGAACTATTCCTTTCTGTCCAGGTGAACCAAAGGATCAGACAAAGAATGAGGAAGCTCACGTGTCTAATGTGTGTGCTCTGGGAGAAAAACTCAGGAGCTCAAAGAAACTGTCTGTGGTGGGTAGGGATATATGGGTCCAAGTGGCAAAATGCTCCCACACTCTCCTCACAATCTCACTCTCTAGAAAAAGGTGGGTAAAGGTCTCGGTCTCATGGCGTCCAGTCTCAGAACAACACACACACCGAGAGGGGAAAGAGATCCCCCTCGCATGTAACACAGTGTCCACGGGTATCCGGTGCAAGAGGAGGCGCCAAAGGAATACCGAAATGGTAGGGGTGAAAAGGTCACTCCAGATGGCCCCGAAGAGAAGATTAGGCCGATCTCTCCGCCTGATCTGCTCCCAAGCCGAGGTAGTAAAAAACACACCCGATGATGTAAGTCTCCACCTCATGCCATCCGAACCGTCCCCCGAGATGGGGATCTGCTGGATCTGATCTAATAACTGCTCGCTAAAACCCGCACCAGAGCCCAACTCCCTATCTAGCTTCCCCCTATCCCACGACCCGTCCGTCCAAAGGTCGCTCAGAAGAAGGTAGGGGGAATGCGACACCTGTCTATGCCTAGACAACGGCCTATCACCTACCCATCACTCATCCCAGAAACTAACCTCGCCCTTGCCCAAAACCCAGAAGATGTGATCCTGGGTGCGCCTACCGACCCTAGTGAGGCGCCGCCATTGTCTGCTATCATGATCAACTGCCGTCACCCAACAAGGGTGGTTGGCACGTCTAGGGCAGTACTTGCCATGAAAGTACTGAGCCCAAAGCGACTTTCCCTCCCTGAAGTGCCACCACAGCTTGTAGGAGAAAGTTGTAACAATGTCCCAGAGGCGGTGGATGCCAAGGCCACCCTCGGAGAGGGGGCGGCAGATAGAGTCCCAACTCACCCAGTGGGTACGTCTCCCCCTCCCAGAACCGTCCTCGTAATCCCATAAATAACGAGCCATAATCTAGTCAATCTCATAAAGAGTATACCTAGGGGGGTCGAGGACCATAAGCAAATGAATCGGAAGGGAGCTGAGAGTGCTCTTGATCAGCGCAAGCCGACCACCGAAAGAAAGATGTCTATGCGACCAACCAGAGATCCTGTCGATCATCCTCTGCCTGACGCCCGCAAAGAGCGCTCTCGTGAGGTTGCCCTTATATAAAGGGACACCAAGGTAGGTAATGGGAAGGTCGTCACACGCAAAGCCATTAATATCGTGGACCCGCTGAGCCCACTTGTCTGCGCTGGAAGAGGAAAGGGTGAAGGTGCTCTTCTGCACACTGACCAGCTGACCGGTGACCGAGCCATAGTGCTTCAGAAGGCGCATAAGCTCGACCAGTCCATCATCATCCGCCTGGGTGAAGATGATGATGTCATCTGCATAAGAGAGGTGAGAGATGGGAGGACCATAGCCACGAGTGGTATAGGTCATATGAGGATAGTCGCGGATGAAGCCGTCAAGGCAGTGAGAGAGGTAGTCCGCCGCAAGAACGAAAGGGGAAGGGGAAAGGGAGTCGCGCTGTCTAAGGCCTCTAGGGGAAGGAAAGAAGTCGGTAAGGCTGCCATTAACCAGGACCGAGAACGTGCAGTGCTCCACACACGCCTTTACAAAACTGATCCAACGCTCAGGAAATCCCATCCTAGCCAGAGCCTCCCTAAAAAACGGTCACTCAACCCAATCATACGCCTTAGCCATGTCTAGCTTCAGCGCAATATTCAGAGCCTGCTTCCAGTCCGCACGGGAGATGTCGTGGATCATCTCCTGGGCCAGAAGGATGTTATCACTAAGGAGGGATGGTGGGGAAGAAAGAAACGATCGGGGCAACGAGGGACCCTTTCTCAGAGGTGAAGAGGGTCTGGAAGTGAGCAACAGCCGACTCCCGAATCTGAGCCTCCTGGGTCAGGGATAACCCATCAGCCTCGATACTATTGATGTAGGACTTAGCACGCTTCTGCCTAACGTAGCCCTGGAAGAACCTAGTATTCCGCTCGCCCTCGGCCACCCAGCGAACGGCCGCCTTCTACTTCCAGAAGTCCTCCTCCATAAGGAGTCGGAGCTGATACTCGGTGTGGTAGCGGTGCATCGCAGTCCTATTCTCTGGAGTGGGGTCCAGGTCATAGGCCCGCTCAGCCTCCGCCTGCGCACTCTGAGCCGCAGAAAGGCGGTGATGAAGGTTTCCAAAAACATCCCAGTTCCACTGTCTCAACCAATGCTGCAGTCAGCGGAGCTTCACCTTGAGAATGCGCATCCCGAAGAGCCCAGTCAGCTGAAGGCAGGAATCCCTGACAGTGTCGTGGAAGGAGTGGTGGCGAACCCACATGTTCTGGAACCTAAAGAAAGAGCGGCGGAGGGTGCTCGAAAATCAGCACCGGATGATAAGGGGTGAATGGTCAGATCCAAATCGAGTAAGGTGTGTGATGGTCGTAACTGAAAACACCTTCGCCCACGCCTCAGAAACCAAGGCACGGTCGAGCCTCTTTTTGAGTCCGTCCCTCACCCACGTGAAGGGCTCACCATCACATCCAGCGTCGATTAACTCAAAGTCCGCCACCGCCTGAGAAAAATCCCACATCTCCCGTGACCAGTCCCAAAGGCCATCCTCACGCTCATCGGGATGCAGAAAGATGTTAAAATCGCCACTAACCATCCATGGCAATCCCTTCATACTCTCGGCAATCTCACGCATCGCCCGATCCTAGTACACTTAGCATAAACCAAGGTGTGAAAGATGGGCTCTGGGAGGTGGGCAGCGGAAAGCTCGATGTAAAGCACCTGAACGGTGTCACGGAGGACCCGACAAGTGTAATCACGCGAGTGAAAGAACCAGATCTTATGCGAAATGTTACCCACGCCCGAGTGAAAGCCAAGGCGACACGAGTAGTAGTCAAAAGAAGGGGTGCGAATCATCGGCTCAATAAAGCCAACAAAATCGAGTCTGTGATCACGAATGAGAGAATGAAGGTGAGTGACAGTAGCCCTATTCGCCAGGCCACAGCCATTCCAAGTTATGGATGTGATAGACATATCAACGGTCGCAAGAGCCACCGGACATAGTCCGCCTGTGGCGAGGCTGAGTCGGTCCACCTAAAGAAGGAATGTGGCGAAAGGATCGAATAGCAGGGGAGACAGTCCGTCGTGTCGTGCACTGCGTGGCTCTGGTCCTCGTGGACTGCCGGCCTCGGTAGGTGCTCGTGGCTTGTGTGTAGTCTGGCTGGGCAGTCTGACCTAGCGCAGCACTAGCGGATTGCCTCATCTCCGGGGTTGTCTCCTGTCTGTCATAGTGAATGAAGGCACTAGAGGCGAAGCTCTCGCACGAGACGTCATGCTAGGCGCGGTTAAGACCGCATGCCTGCTCGGGGATGGTTGAAAGAGAGGATCCAGCAGGCGGAGCACTCAGGTGCTCGCCGAGCTCCCACTCTCAGCAGGGAGGAGATGGGCCGACTCATCCCCTTTCGGGGGAGCGGTGACGGCAGTGTCCCTCAAATCTAGAGAGCGGTCTGGGCTAGACGCATGCACAGTTAAAGGACCAGCATCGGGCGCACTGTCATCAGATAAGTGGATGGACTCGCCCCTGGATGAGGCGTTCGGCTGGTCCATATCGTCTACAAGGAGGTCGTCATCATCAAGAAGCGTAAGGTCCGTAATCCTACGTGGGTCACTGGTGGAAGGCACAGCCTCATTCTCTGCCTCTGGGAAGAGAATAGCAAAGTACGAGTGGTTGGCCTTGAAGGCCGACTGGAAGGTCTGTCTGGGAAGAAAGCTCGTGGACTTGGGCTTGGGCCCTACTATAGCCAACTGCTTTGGCTGGTTAGGATGAGCATCCTTCCCAGCTTGGGTAGTAGCGTCGATCACAACCTTGCCCTTATCCTTAGACCCCTTCGGGGTCTCCAGCGTGCGGAGAGGGCTTTTGCCCTTTCCCTTCGGGTCCCTCCGGCTGGTGGAGGGCCCCGACTGACTCGCACGGTGGCGCTGCGGAAGTGTGGGCCGTGGCTTATTGCCACTAGTGTAGCAATCAGCCGCAAAATGTCCCACATGACTGCACAAAGTGCAGAACGCGGGGATCTTCTCATAGATCACCCGCTGAGCAAAGGTCTCCGAGCCCTGCTCAATCTCAATCTCATGGACGGGCTCAACTCTGAGGTCTATCTCTACACAAAATCGCGCCACGTTAGCCCTCGGCTGAAGAGCCGTCAGGACGTCAATACGAATCGGCTGTCCAATACACTTAGTGAGCGTGGTGATGGAAGCACAGTCGTAAAGGTTGGGTGGATGACCGGGTAGACGGCACCACACGGGGTAACAGGCGTCTCCGTCTTCCAGTTAATCCCGGCAGTATATTTGAACACCCTAGTTGGGCATCCACACAGATGAATCTAGGTCTTAACCCAAACCTCGTTGTAGTCCTCGAGGAGGTGAAAAGTGACTAGGAGGTGGTTAAAGTTATACCACTTAGATGACACTCTACCCTTAAAACCTAGTTTACCTAATCCACCAGATATATTTCGGGGGGCAGGGATAGCATTAGTAAACTTAAAAACCAGGGTGTTAGCTAATTTACCGTCCAGGCCTTCAGATTCGGATTGAGAGAATTGAGCCTTCACCTTATTTCCCTCCGAACGGATAATGGACCCGCAGGCATGCTCGTAATCCCCATCGAAGGTGAAATCCTTGGGTGTCGGCCGCCGGCCACCCGTGCCGCTATCTCTCTTCCCCGTAATGGCCTCCCAGTAGGAAAGCGGCTCATTGGATGTGGCCGGAAGGGGTCCGGCTGCAGCGGGGTTGGCCGATGAAGTGCCCGTTCGGGGAAGGTCCGGAAGGATGGCCCGCGGGTGTCGTATTTAGGTCCGCAACAACTACACAATCTTCACGAACATACAAAATATTTAGTTCAGAATTTCTGGCAGTAGGAGTAGTTGTTCCGGCAAGATGCTCGGTCGGGGGGTGAGTTTGGCCAGGGACCGAGGATTCCGGCCGTAAAAATCAATTCCGGGACATCCCCGGGGTGGTTGCCGACCGGCTTGGATATTCCGGTGGCCGGGGTGGCTCCGGCGTTGGCATGTGGCAAGTGGTCGGCGACTGCCGGCGGCAGCTAGATGGTTGCAGCTGACAGGTTCGGGGTTGGGTAATGGCAGTAAATCGTTGGTTGCGGGTTGTGGGTTTTGAGAGGAAAGGGACGTGGGCTGTGAAACGGAAAAGTGCTGGGTGTGGTGGGCTGTAGGGGGGTTGGTGGGCTGGGGAGCGGGTCTAAAGAGTGGTAGGCCCAAATGAGGGGAATATTGGGTAGGTTGAGATATCGAGCGGAGTGGCTGTGAGGTGTGCTGAGGGAAATTGGGCTGGGGTGGGTCGAGACCCATTAAATGGGCTGAGGTTGAGGGAAATAGGCCCAACAGGGATTGGCCCAGCTCTGATTGTTGAATGGCCACGGGACTGAGAGGGATTGGGTCCACGGGGATGGGAAGCTGAGAGGTAGGTTTTACTGTAGCGCCATATTCAAGATTTGGACCTGGGTTGATCCGCGAAGGAGACTCCGATTGAAAGGTACCAAAACTCACCGGACATCGGATTCTGCGGGGGTTGAGGACTGAGATTCCGGCGACGGGAGCTTCGTTCACCGACGGAGGGGTCTCCACTTCTACCAACCGAGAGGGTCTGCACAAAAATTCTCTAATAACTTGCTGGAATTCTGGAAGCGAGACGAGATGGATGAGCTCCTGCGATGGGCTTGCCGAAGGTTGGGGAAGGGAAGAGCTGACTGGTACAGGAAAATGGGATGGAGCCATGTCTGGGAGAGGGGGAGGGGGGAGCAATGGGAAAAAGAAAGGGGGAAAGATAAAGAGAGGCCCGCGGCCGGTGAGGGTGGCTAGTCGGGGTACAAGGCCGAGAGGTGGTGGTGGTGGGTTAGGATGAAAATTGGGAAAGGGAATCCTAGAGAGAGAAACCTAGAGAGAGGTGAGAGTATTTGGGAGGTGTTATGTAGTTGCTAGGTTAGTTGTCTGTAGTTGCTAGGTTAGTTCTATGTAGTTGCTAGGTTAGTTCTCTGTTAGCTGCTAGGTTAGTTGTATGTAGTTGCTAGGTTAGTTCTCTATAGTTGCTAGGTTAGTTCTCTGTAGTTGCTAGGTTAGTAGTAGCTAGGTTAGTTCTCTGTAGTTGCAAGGTTAGTTCTTTGTAATTGCTAAGTTAGTTCTCTGTAGTTGGTAAGAGTTGTCCGCATTTTAAGAGCTATCCTCATTTGATCCGCCCCCTATATATATATATATACATATATATAGAAGTGCGCTCAAATGAGAATGAATCACAATGAAAGAAATAAGAATGAATTTGGATCATTAGATAAATCATATCAAGGGCTAAGATGAAGTCAAAATTTGGTCAATCATTAATGGCATTATGGTAAATAAGCATACACTTTATGGTCAAATATACATTTTTTACCAATTAACAGTGGCAAATTGGTCATTTCTTATCCCTCAATTAATCAACCTGGGCCCACCACTCACCCTTTCCCATACCCTCTCTCTCTCTCACACAAATTCACACACAACTCACCTAATTTTACACACACGCACCCGACGACAACGTCTGCACACAAACACACACACACACACACATAAACATACACACACACACACACACAGGAGATCAGCCCGCCGCTGGCCTCTGCCGTGCCTCCGCCAGGCCTTCGCTGCCCGACGCGACCCCCGAATCCGATGAAGGAGACGTCGGCTGGCCTCTACCATGTCTCCGCCGCCTGGCGCCAACAGCAATGCAGGAGACGCCGGTCGTGACTCTGACGTGCATCGAGAACCATTTTCGTCGGCGTCCTCCAACAGACATCCTCAGCACCGGTCGCCGGTCGCCTCATCGAGCTCCCCTCCATCTCCTGCATCTTCTTCTTCCGCAGGAGGCGCAAGCGAGGAGGCGCAAGCGAGGAGGAAGCCGAGGCGGCCTCCTGGATCATGCTAGGCTGACAAGGATCGGAGACGTGCCTAGTTCACCGGAGTACAAGTCGGCGCCGCCGTGAGTGATTGGAGTTTTTTTTAGGGATTATGAAAATTGGGGATGATCTCGGTCCACATCGCTGCGGCGGGGATAGCGGCGGTGGGGGCGGCCTGACGGCGACTCCGGCGGTCGGGTGTTTGTCGGCGGCAGGTCTGGTTTGGAATTGCGTTGAGGAGATGGTGTATTGGGGATTTGGGGTTGGGGCCTTATTTTGGAGAATTAGATAGGTTTAGGTGATTAACTTGCAATTTTAGAACTTTTAATATATGTATATTTTAATACTTGAGGCCAATGTATAATTTAATGAAATAACCTAGATTTTAATATCTGTAAAAAATGCATATTGTTATGCCAACGTGCATTCTCGAATGCTTTGATATGCATTCGGTCTAACGCTATATTGCATTTTAACAGTCACTTACGTGCATAATGTTTATTATTATTGTGCATTTAGTCCAGATTATTTTATGTGCAAATCTAAGCTAAAATGGAACTAAATAAATAATTGAAATATTTGTTTTATTAATCAAGTTAACTTAAATAACATTTATATTTCATATTAATAATATGTTTTGATTGAGACATAGTAATAAAATATTAAAATCAATAATATGCAGTTCGTATAACATTATTGTGCAATATATTGATCGACTATTTTTATGTACAATTCAATTTTTTTTAAACTTTATTAATGTGTTTTCGTTTAACATTATTTTGTATTTATCAATTTATTTATATAGTAAAAATATATTTAGTAGTTTTAATTATTTTTATTTAATATTTTATATTATTGTTTATTGAAAAAAACAACTGCACTTTAAAAAAAAATAATATATGAAATATCAAATTTGATGATGTGCATTCTAACATGCACTAATGTTCATTTAGTTAACATTATTGTGCGGTATATCGAAAGTGTAGTTTTATGTACGTTACAATTTTAGGATTATATATATATATATTAAATTTAAGGCATTGTGCATTATTTGAACACATTAATGTGCACTCGAGCGAACACTATTGTGCAGTCTGGTAGTTACTATTGTGCATTACTGTCTTGTACTCTCGTGAGTTTTGTAGCGTGAATTTTTTATGTGCAACTAAATCGAACCATTTTAATTTATTATTTATAATGTAAAAAAATATATTTAGTATTTCTATGTTTTATTTAATATTTTCTATTTTTTTTAACACATAGTATATATATGTATAAAAAAACAAATGTGAAAAATAAGAGTTTTTATATATTTTACGAAATTACAGATTTAACCCAATGTACTTAATTGAAATATAACCAAAATATCTAAATTATAATGCACTCCTTCATTTATATCTAATTCACAAAATAGGGCCCCACAAATTCTAGCTTGTGGAAGCTTCAAGCACCGTTCACTGATATTCCCTTCAGGACGGAGGCGGCCGGAATGCAGGAACAAGACGGCGTTCGAATGGCGGAAGGAGACGGCGGCAGTGGTCGGATGGCGAAACGTGACGGCGCACGACTGACCGGCAGTGAGAAGTAGACGGCTGCGACCTACGGCGTGCAGACCGACGAAATCGAGGCGATCTCCTCCTCTTAGAGTAGCGAGGCCGACGTCGTGTGGTGGGTGAAGGACGGTCGACGAGGTCCTTTACGACCAATTTCACGTCGGACAACGACGAGGGTCGGGATGGATTGAATTGAACGAACCCGTGCGGCGGCATTAGTTCCAAGGCGACGACGGTCGGCGCTGGCGAGAGGATGACCGCCGTGTGAAGGCCTTTCTGTGGTGTTCGTTCATGAGAGAGAGAGGGAGGGAGAGAGAGAGATGGAGAGAGAGAGGAGTGGAGAGAGAAAATAGATCTAAATTATTACTTGCGTTGGGTGAGAGAATTTGATTTATTGTTTCATGGTTGGATCCACTAATGTGTTTAATGATTGATGATAAAAGTCCAAAATATCCTTAATGCAAGTATTATTTTGAACTTTTTTTAGCTATTGGATCATATGATCAGATGGCTGAGATTTATTCTTATTTCTTTCATTGAGCACCATTCTCACCGGAGTGCGACCTTATATATATATATATATAATGGTATGTCATGCTCTTTCATTCAGCCCCCTTATCCTTCATTAAAATGACCCCGATCATCATCACCAATTTATCGCCCCTCTGCCCATCGTCGGTGCCTGCATCTCCACCGCCGAATCTCCCACCGTCCTGCACGTGTTTCCAGCCACAACAATGGAGGCAAAAACAGAACCGTTGTGGGGCCCTTGTCTTCTAGTCGTTGGGACTTGATCGTTTATTCTTGGGATCAAATCTGGTCGTTGCTAGCCACCGCTTTCCACAACAATGTAGCATCAACCTAGCCACCATTCGCTTCAGTCGTTGAGCCTCAAGCATCGCCCCGCTGTCCCCAAAACTTGTTCGTCATTAGCTGTTCGTCGCTCACGAGCCGAGCCTGTCATTAGCCGCATCCAAACAGTCTTTCTCATTGGCCGACGGATGAAGAAGGCGGATGTATGAAGAGGATGAGGAAAACAATGTTTGTCATTTTACCGGTTGCGGACTAAACATATTAATTTTGACACGGGTATACGGTCATTCTTAAAAAAAAAAAATTAGGAGAAAAGGACATACATACACATATAGTTGTAGGTATATATGCTATATATTTTTCGTATATATATTGTTTATAGAGTATGTTTGTGTTGGTTTTTGACATATATGCTATATATTTTTGTATATATACTGTATATTTTTTGTATATATATTGTTCATTGATTGTGTTGGTTTTTAAAAACTTTATAGAGTATATTTGTGGTACGTATTATGTATATATGTAGTATACTTATCCGGAACTAATACTTATTTTGTTGTCCTTGTTCTCGGAAGTATGGCCTCAGCTGCAAGATTGCCGCCTTCTTGGGTCGCCAGAACCTGCAAGTCTCGTTGTCGGTTGCTGCTTGGTCATGTGGTGCTCGTCTCACCATGAAGGGCCTACTCTCGTCAGTCGCATCTGGTGGCCTGCCTCGCCGTGAATGGTCAGCCCTTATCGCCGAAAATTGATGCTATTTGGGCGAGAGAGAAGAAGGGCTGGTGGCTGGAAGCTAATGGCGGCGATTGGATCTGGAGTTGGATCTAGGAGTTTTTTTGGAGATATGTCATATCTTTTATTTTTTTAAAATAAGAATGTAACAGTTACCAATTTTCATGCATTGATTGGAGAGAGAGACATTAGAGATAATTATGTAGCATGTTTGGAGATAAAAAAAAAAATTACTTGCAATAGAGTTGAAATGGATTAAATCATCTAACATAATTGGTAGATAGAAAATATATTGTGTTCATATGTGTACTTTAACCATCCCTTATAGCCTTTCATGTTTTCTAATTTTCTATAATTTTTAGTTGTTTCTTTATATGTTTCATATTAGTTTGAGGCCTTAATATGAGCATCTCATATATTTTAGGGTGATTGAGACTTCATAATCTGTTTTACCATACGTTCGTATCCTATCCAACCGTTGTCCAATGTTATAAATTTGATACTGGAATATGAAAAATTGCAACAAATATGAGCCACAGTTTCCCGTAATCAACTTCCAAATTTAAATTTAGTTCTCAGCATCATTTCAATCGATTTCCGTTGCAAACAATATGAAAAAAAAATTAAAAAAAAAATGCGCATATTAAATAGACAAGTGAACAAAAAAGATGCAACCCACATTAAGAGAAGTGCATATCATTAGATCAATAATAGACAAGTGAACAAAAAACATGCAACCCGCATTAATGGAAGTGCAGATCATTAGATCAATAAAGACAAGTGAATAATGTTCGTGAAGGAAGCTGCAATAAACGAACATCAAGTCAACACCCGGGCTGTTCGACTCCTCAAAGTTTCCCTGATTTACGTTTTGACCCCTATTTGTCGTTGGCTGCCCCATCCCCCAAAGTTACCATAATTCGCGTTCTCACCCATATTTGCAGTTGACTGCCCGCCAGGCGATTGCTGATAGATTGCAAATTGTCTCCCTGCATTGGCTCTTGTCCAGGCATTGTCTCATGACCCCTATCGTGTCCCGGGAGTGGCTGTCTGCTTGTAAATCTATAATGCGGCCTGTGAATAACTTTACCATCGACAAAGAGATCGCCTGCAAACACATATCACAAAATACATTTTTATGCTGGGGACAGATATTGTATCAGTCACATTCAAATATGAGCGATTGGGTCCACAAAAAATGTATTTTGTGATATGTGTTTGCAGGCGATCTCTTTGTCGATGGTAAAGTCATTCCCAGGCCGCAATATAGATTTACGAGCAGGCAGCCACTCCCGTGACACGATAGGGGTCACGAGCCAATGCCTGGACAAGAGCCAATGCAGTGAGACAATTTGCAATCTAATCAGCAATCGTCTGGCGGGCAGCCAACTGCAAATATGGGTGAGAACACGAATTATGGTAACTTTGGGGGATGGGGCAGCCAACGACAAATAAGGGTCAAAATGTAAATCAGGGAAACTTTGGGGAGCGATCAGCAATCTACATATCACAAAGTGATATATTTTTACGCTGGGGACAGAGGTTGTACCCATGGCCATTGTGGTGACCTAAGCTGGCAGTAGCACCATGTGAACCCTCATTGATACCTGTATCAGCTGCCCCCTAAGAGTTGTCCATTGTATGTGTTGGAGTGGGATCCCTAGTTTGCCCTGATGAGGAGCTCCCATTATGCCAGCCTTGTCCTTGTAAGCCTTCTGAAGCTCGCATCCACTCACCATATTACCCTTCCCTGAGTGAATGGTTCCCCACATCTTCCACTCTTTGCCCACAGCCCTTTTCAATATGCCTTACTCTCCCGCAGTAAAAGCATAAATTTACCAGCCGCTCATATTTGAATGTGGCTGATACAACCTCTGTCCCCAACCGAATAGATGCACACCTAGGATAAAACCTCTGTCCCCAGCCGCTCATACTTGAATTATATGTGACTGATACAACCTCTGTCACCATATCACATAAATGTTATTTTTGTCCACATGTTAAAGTCCTCGCATACAAAATTCAAAAAATAATAAATGTTGTTTGATCAGATAAAATATTCTATGATACAATTAGATATGATTTTTTATTAGCGGTTTTTTTATGATTTGATTTTATCACAACACACATTCCTATAAAATCACCTACAAATTGTATGTTTATTAACATATAAGGCTGATAATGTGTCGAGACAATTTAATATTTCCCATATTTATTCATCTTGTTTTTTATAATATATTTTGGTTTATAACTTATTCAAATTTCAGCAATTAAGAGCATTCTGATCACCTACTTTTAGCATAGAGAATTCGAAATACCAAGGTTTAACAGTCCAACAATTTTCTAAACAATGCCATAAATCATATATTCCACAAACAAAACAACATGTATTATAACTCAATTTTCTCAACTCTTAAGCATGCACCTAAAATGAAATCATAGGCATAAAATACCATCTAATCTCATATCCTTCAACCAAGAAAAATATATTGAACAGAGGCTTAAGACATTCAACAAACTCAAGGCAAAAAGGCACTTAGATTACACAAATTATACACATAATACTCAATCCCATTTCTCAAGATCCGAACTGCCACATTTTCCTAAGGTAAACACATAATAATCAATAATGAAATCAACTCCAAGCAAACTCAAGAGTCGGTTTAGCCAATTTACCTATTGTCGTATAAAAAAAACGAACGCAGTCACCGGAAGAATAGACAGCTAGGTTTGCCTCAGTCCTGTGGCCCTCGATTACTCTTCCGTTCGCCGACGACACTCCCGGCCTGCTCGCACAAGGACAGGAGGATCTGAAAAGGGGCTGTACGAAAACTCAATGCGCAGCAACGCACGATGACTTGCTGGGCGCATTTAGTCGAGGTTGTCGGGGTGCGCCTGACTTCGACGGGACTCGACACGTTACCGTTCATGGTTCGAGGCGGCTAAACAAGCACGAACAGGGGCTCGTCTTAGCCCGCGGTTGCTGCTCGAGGGTCCGTTACTCGAGGACACACGGCTGAAGCTCCTCGACAGGGTGCTGCTGCGAACAACGGCTAGTCACGGCCCGTCGCTGGTCGAGGGTCGCTAGCGATGGCTGCCTTTGGTTGGAGGTTGAGATCGCCATCGAGCGCAGGTGCGAAGGGGTTCACGACCAGTTGCTGTGGGACCTCGACGTGATGCTCAAAAAACGCCGGTGGTGGAGGTCGCTTGCTGAATCGATGGCGACGCTGGAGAACTCGAAGAGACCGCTGCCGAAGAACTCATCTGCCTCTGACGCGACTGGTGGCTGGCGGACATAACTCTTCAGAAGGTGAGTGTGAGGGGCGCGGTTGATGCACAGAGTTAGGGTTGGGAGAAATTACGAGAGAAAGACAGTGTTGTACGGGGTTGGGGGATTTCATGGGCCCAAACTCCTTTGAGCTAATTGGGCCGAAAAGGGCCGATTTTACAAGATTTAATTGGACCGAGATCACAAATAATCTGGGCTCGAAAATAGAATTCCAAGGTCGATTGTTAAAGTGGCTCAAAAACAAGTTGAAACGAGACGAAACGGTTCTACGCGATTGAACCGTAAAAAGCCGAATAGATTAAACTACCAACTAAAAATAATTCTATCTAATTCTAACACATAAATAATCAATTGAATCACACAATATTCCATAAATAGTCATATAGCGGTTTAATAATAAGTAGATGGAAACGAGCAGTTAATATCAATAACCGACAAATGAATAAAGCAACGACAATTATTATTTATAAGCAAATAAATAATAATATAATATTCAAAAAATTCTAATAAACGAACGGGGCGTTACATGCATGGTCCATGTGGAGACTTAACCCAAGGTAATTCGTGTATGACGAATAAAATTAAATGCAGGTTTAATTATCCAAAGCCTTTTTCTGATCGAACTATTCAGATAAGTAATTCATATCCAAAATATCAGAGAAGAAATAATAATGTTAGAGTCAAAGTTCGAGGAGAAATGTTAGATAATCGATGGGTTGTACCATATAATCCATATTTACTTGCAAAATTCAACTACCATATTAATGTAGAAGTTTGTTCAACACCACGATCTGTTGAATATATTTATAAATACATTTACAAAGGTCATGACAGAATAGCATTTCATGATGACACATCTAATCAAATTGTTCAAGTTGATGAAATTGAACAATATAGAACAGCACGTTGGGTTTCTCCACCTGAAGCTGCATGGAGGATTTTCAGATTTCCAATAAGTGAAATAAAGCCTTCTGTTATTAATTTACCAGTTCATTTGGAAAATTATCATAAAATCAACTACCAAAAAAAAAAAAAATGATAGACAAGATAGAATGGTAAATAATCCAAGGAATCATAAAACTATGCTAACTGAATTTTTTTATATGAACAGAACTGATGAATACGCACAATCCCTAAATCTAACATATGTGCAATTTCCTGAGTACTTTACCTGAAGACAAAAAATGGAAAAAAAAGAGGTGGAAAAGATTCTATAGCTAGAGTTATAACTGTACATCAAAATGAAGGAGAGAGATATTATCTTAAGTTACTCTTACTACAGGTTAAAGCTCCGAAATCTTACGTAGACATAAGAACTCTTAATAGCAGAGTTGCTTCGGCGTATCGTGAAGCAGCTCTTTTAAGAGGCCTATTACAAGACGATAATACCCAAGATCTTTGCCTTCAAGAAGCTTCCATTTTCAAAATGCCATACGAAATGAGAAGACTTTTCGCTAATCTTCTGGTTTATTCATGTCCTAACAATCCTAGAGAACTATTCTTCAAATACGAAGATGCTACGTCTGAAAACTATACACGTAACATATATTTTAGCAAAATAGATGTTAGAAAAAAAGTGTTACAACAAATAAATGGTTTCCTAGAATCTATGGGAAGAAATATTCATTCGTTTAATATTTTACCTGATAATATTCATTTACATGGTGAAAAAAACAATAGAGAAATAACAGCTGAAACCAATATAACTGTTTCTGAAGAAGACTTAAATGCCATAAAATCGCTAAATCAAGAACAAAAAAAAGTTTTCGACATTATACTAGAACGAGTGTACAGTAAAAAGCCAGGAGCTTTTTTTATAGATGGGCCAGGTGGAATTGGAAAAATATTTTTGTATAGAGCTATTTTAGCTGACATTAGATCCAAGGGTTATATAGCACTAGCAACTGCTACTTCTGGTATTGCAGCATCTATACTACCAGGTGGTAGAACAGCGCACTCGAGATTTAAAATACCACTCAATATGTCTGAAGGAAAAACATGTAAAATCAGCAAACAAAGCAATTTGGCAAATTTAATTCGAGAAAGTAAATTAATTGTATGGGATGAAGCACCATTGCCTAAAAAAACAACAACTGAAGCACTTGATAAAATGCTTAAAGACATAACAGACTCTCTTGGAATCTTTGGTGGTAATGTAATTGTTTTTGGTGGTGATTTTAGATAATATTACCCGTTGTTCGTAGAAGAAATAAACATGATACTATAGATGCATGTATTACAAATTCTTATATTGGCCATTGCTTGAAAAAATTCAATTAACAGAAAATATGAGAGCTCTACTTGATTCAACGTTTACAGATTATTTGCTAGGAATTGGGAATGGGATAGAACCCACACATATTAACAGTTCAATATATTTGCCTCCTTCATTTATAGTTAAAGCCGTTGATACTGAAAATGCTTTAGAAGAATGAATCAAAATAATCTATCCTCAATTCTATTCTATGTTAGCAATATACCTAATAGCATTCAGAGCAGCACTGGAAATAACATATAGGATAATTTTTCCATGAACAGTGCTATTTTGTCTACCAAAAATTGCTTTGTAGATGAAATAAATGATAGACTCATCAATGATTTTCCAGGAGAAATGGGTGAATATCTAGGTTTTGATGAAGTGTTAAACCCTATTCATAGAGGCCTTTATGAAGATATGATAAATACTTTAACTCCTGGTGGCATGCCACCTCAAAAACTACAGTTAAAGGTCAATGCCCCTATTATACTTCTTAGGAATTTGGATTCTACAGAAGGCTTGTGTAATGGAACAAGACTAATTTGTAAAAAACTAAGCAGAAACGTTATTCATGCAGAAATAGCCATAGGAGACTTCAAAGGAAAAAGTGTCTTTATTCATAGAATTCCATTAAAACCTTCATCTGGTTACCAAGTTCCCGTGCCATACACAAGAACATAATTTCCCATACGACTTTGTTTTGCTGACTATAAACAAAGCACAAGGTCAAACACTAGAATTCATAGGTATTTATTTAAAAGAACCAATCTTTTCGCATTGACAACTATATGTAGCCTTGTCACGAGCAAAACAACCTACAGTCATCAAATTTGTGATTAAACCACCGTTCTTTGATCCACAACGCATTGATGTTACAAAAAACATCGTATAGCATGAAGTTCTTAATGCAGCTGCAGTGACAAAAAGTACTTAATTATACATTCTTTACTATTGAAAAATAGACTTATTAGTTTATTGTACATTACTTTGATAATATTTCATCATAAATATTATTTAACCTTATGTGTTTTCTCACTGTCACATTTAATAGTGATAATATTTCCTAATAAATATTATTTAAACATATATCTTATTACTGTCAGTTTGAATATGTGCAGATCATAATGTCACGGCCGTATCTACCGATTCATCAAATTATAGATGAAACGAATAACTGGACTGCACTAATTCAAGTTGTTGAACGACCATCGGTTCAGACGAGCAAAAATAATGCATCTATGCTTTACCGTAGATATTTGTTTAAAGATGAGGAGGTACAAATATATAAGAGTGTATTTATTCACAAAATTACAGAAAAGGATAATACACATATATTGCATGCTGTTAAAATTTTCTGCTCAATTGCAGGGAATAAAAGTTTATGCGGTTGCTTATATTGTTGTTATTGACGAATTTGGTGAACTTCTTATGTCGTACAAGAGATACTACCTATCTGGAGCAAAAGTTCGGCCCGAGGTTCCTCTGTATCAAGTTAGTGATTATAAGTATAATTGACTTATAGTTTCCAGAACTAATGTCGAAGAATACCAAGAGTCCCTGCCTCCACAACTTCCATGCCACATTGATATCCACACCTTTGCAGACATACACAAGTATCCAGACACAGACAACCCCAAAAGTAAGTAAATTATGCATACACAGGCCAATCATCAACCAATTGCTCTTATATTAACTTTCAATAAACAACAAAAAAATCAATCTACAACATTTAACAAAATGCTAATTATGGCAGGCCTTTTGACAATTGTTGTGCATGCTTTTCCAGTGAGAAATCTTGGTAAACACAACAAAACAAGGGACTTAGTTATTGTCAATCAAGAGTAAGGACTTTTTTTTTAATTATTCAAATATGTCTGTTGGCTCTTCACTTATCTATTATTATTATGCAGGGAGAAACCAATGCTCTTACCACTGTGGAACCAATTCGAAACTAAAGATGGTCTGCATATAGCTAATATAGTATCAGATGGAAATGTTCTGCTTGCCATGCGAATTAATGTTACCACATTTAACGGTAAATATTTGTGTTTGAACTTACATAACAAATACCAAAAAATAATAAAAATAACAAAACATAACACTTTTGCTCTT